AGTTGTATGAGCCCCTAATAAAATGTTAAAAAAGAGGAAAAAAAAAACAGGCATAACTGACTTCATATTTGCTGACCCTATTAATATGACATTTCTAGGAAAGGCAAAAGTAAAAAAAAAAGAAAGTGTTGCAACACCTCCCAGAAACCTTCACTGAACAAAAGGGTCCAAAGGAGAAGTTGTTGTTTCTTGACATTCCTCCACCTGTCTCCACACTCCTAGAAGTGGGGTCTCCAGCTCTCTAACCTTTCTCTGAAGAATGGCAGCTTGGGGATTCTTAAGGGACTCAGATTGTCTTCTTTGAGTTTTAAGAACAGAAGAAGTCTGAAAGGGCAGGATCAGTGTTGTGGGAAGAATGGAATTAGGCTTCCCAATTAAACTCTTGCTATCTTCAAAGAACGAGCAGATTGTTGGGACGGAACATTTTCCTTGGCACAATTTCCATGGCAGTGTCTTCATCCATGCAGCTTTCAATTTCCTTAAAACTTCCTCATAATCAGCCCTCATGATCATTCTGCGTCTGTGAGGAAATCTATCAAGATTACCCCTTTAGGATCCCCAAGGTTTTACAGGTCCCATAATCCTGTGAGCTGATCTCTCTGTGTTGAATTTAACTGGACAAGCAGATCCCCTCAGAAGCCACAGTTTTGATTGGATCTTTTTTTAGAAACACCCTAATGACTTCAGACAAGTGTACTACTGAACAAATTTGTCTCCTACCATTCACCAAGGAAGTTTGGAATAAATCCACATATGTATGAACTGAAATCCTAGTAGCTGTATTTCTGACTTTCCTGTGTGCATGCTGTGCATGTATGTGTGCACGCATGTGCATTTGTATGTGTGTGCACGTGTATGCATGTGTGCATGTGTATGCACGTGTGTGTGTGTGTGTGTGTGTGTGTGTGTGTGTGTGTACCTCACAGTGACCCGATAGGACAGAGTAGAACTGGCCCAGTGCGTTTCCAGGACAGTTACTCTTTACAAGAGTAGAAAGCTTCCTCTTTCTCCCAAAGAGCGGCTGGTGGTTTCAAACTGCTGACCTTGTGGTTAGCAACCCAGCTTTCAACCTCTACACCACTGTGACCGATCCCCTGGCTATATTTAAATATGCAGTAACTCTTTCTGGCTATATTTAAATATGCAGTAACTAGTCAACCCATCTTGTGATGAGTACTTATCTCTACTGTCTTATAAACTAATGTCAACAGTTGGTAACCTCAAAAGTACCTTCCAGTTCTCTGCTAAAGCAACTGGGAAGAGTTTCCAACAGAAAATACAGTCTGCTGAGTTCCATGGTTTCGATTTCTAGACGATCAATTGTAGATTTTCTCATTTCTTCCTGAAAATTCAAATGGCAAGTTTACAAGTTAAGAAACGAAAATAAACGACGATTCAGTTCCGAAACAGTACCCCTTTACATGTTGTCAGAGGTCAAAATGGGACTTTTGGCAAAGCAATCTTCAGTCATTTAAAGCAGGAAATGGGGGAAATTTCTGCTCCATGGTCTGTGTTTAAGACATTATTGAGGTACCATGCTCTGGCCCCAGAGTCTGTCCTTTGTACTCCCTCTCATGGTACCCCATCGGTCCTGACTGAAGGACACGCCTAGAGATAAAAAATCAGACCTTGATCTATTTACAGGTTTTTCTTTCTATTTAAAATTTTTTTCTTTTAATTAATTTATTCTTCTATGGGTAATTGGTTTCCTTTTTTGTTGCCATCGCTGTGTTCTCACTGATCGCCTATCTTGCTATGGCTTGGTTTTTGATGCATATTATTATCTCTACAGAT